CCTGTGCCAAGGTTCTCAGGTTTGTCCCAATTCCCTCATTTATGGCCCCAATTGTTTGGGGTTTTATCTCAAGGTCTGTGATCCACCTTGAGTTTACTCTTGTGCATGGAGTGAGGTGAGAATCTTTCTTCGTTTTTCTGCAGCACCATTTATTGAAGATGGCATCTGATTCCCATTTGATATTTTTTGGGGCCCTTATCAAAGATCAGTTGCCTGTATGTTGATGTTTTTATTTCTGGGTCTTCAGCTCTTTTCCATTGGTCTGAGTATCTGTCATTATGCCAGTACCACACTGTTTTGACTACTGTGGCCGTACAGTAGATGTTAAAGTCAGGTAGAGCAAGCCCTCCCACTTTGTCCTTCTTGAGGAGTTCTCTGCTAATTCTGGACTTCTTCCCCCTCCATATGAAGTTGGTAATCTGTTTTTCCAATTCTTTGAAGAAGGATGGTGGTATTCGTATTGGGATAGCATTGAACCTATATAGTGCCTTGGGCAGAACTAACATCTTTACAAATCCATGAGCATGGGATATTCTGGGATATTCTTCCATTTGTTGAGGTCATTCTTGATTTCTTGAAGTAGTGTTTTACAATTTTCCTCATACAGATCTTTCTTTTTTTTTTTAGTCAGGTATATCCCTAGGTATTTCAATTTGTCAGCACATTTTTTTTTATGCTGTAAAAGCCCCCCAGTTTTTGTTTTTTTTGTGTGGTAAAATGATGTGCCTCGGCTTATACTCAAGTCTATGCGGCAGTATCTATTTTTTCAGATGAGCAAACTCATCCCCAAACACATCGTTGTTAATGGGTAGAGCTGGTGCTTGACGTCAGGTCTGCTTCCAGAACGCTCGTTCCATTCTCCCGTCATCTTGTGCTGATGTGCTCCAACTCCGCATCCCGACAGCGGGATAAAAGCACAGGACTTCATAGAAACCCAAGATGAGAATCTTCATTCAGACTCCCCAGGAGGGAGACTGGTGGAGAGAATGGGGCACTATGGGATGCTTGTGCTTTTTCCTTGTGTGTTTGGTAATGGTAGAACTACTACTTGGGATCAAGGTTCTAAAGACCCTCTTTCCATGCACCCCAGCCACCCCAAACCACCTTCATGCTCAGACTGCACCATGCGAGACAGAAGAATTGAATACATTTAATGCTTCTCCTTCCATTTACACGATCATAAATTACAAAGTATTGTTCACTTCACAAAATAAAACCATTTCCAGATAATTTTTTTGGACAGTATCAAGAAGTACATGAGCGACAACAATCAAATCTGTACAGTTGGCCAGAACCATGGTAGCAGGGACCAAGTAAGTGGTCACCTTTGGACCCCATCCTCCTGGGACTTCCCCGGACAGAAATTGCACGCCTCTTTGAGCTCCATTTAATGCACACACACACACACACACACACACACACTGGGGAGTTCTCTTCTGGTCACTCCAACACAAGACTAGGTGAATTTTCACACAGCTCATTGCCTTTGGATAGAATTTTTAAACCAACCTAAATGTACAGTTCTTGATGTCTTAAATATTTCACCTATGTTACAAAATATAGAACTCTTGCTATGAAAAGCTCATGCTGAGATCAATATATATCATCAAGAGAAGGGTATTAGACTCATACAATCATTATTAAATTATTATCCACACACAGCTGCTTTGATCAAGGAGAAACAAATATTTGGTTAAGCCCCAAGCTTAATGCTTGCTTTTAACAATAGGCTTGTTTATAAAACAAAAATGACTTCAACGAAACAATTATTCTGCAGATTCATTTCCCTCTCCCCCATAAATGCAGATAGGTTGCAGTGTTCAGATTTGCCAGGAACAAATGACTTCAGAATGGCCAGAAAGAAAGGAGGGTAATGGTAGCTTTTCACATGGCAGAGTTACACCCAGTGTGCCCGGGTCGTAGGGACATTAAATGACCACCGTCTGCACGTTCTAGGACACACCGGCCACACTAAAGGGAAGAGGAAGGCTAATTTTGAAACCTGTGTTCAGAGTTCACAAACTTATCATGGAAAGAAAAGCCGTGGCCCTGTCAGAGCATCCTGCGATGGCTATAAACCTAGACTGTAGAGCAGGGAATGTCAATGTGTTTCACAGCAAACACTTCAAAAGCAGGGGTCGGGAGCACTGCCACCACAGAGGTATGCCAAGGTAATACTGCATTTGTGGTAAGCTCTTCTGGGCAACACAGCCAGGACACAGGTGCACAGGGAAATAGTCAATGCACTGCATTGAGTTCAATTTGCTAAAATAATATTCTTGCGGCGAACATAAAAATACGCTTTACAATATAGGCTTCATTTAACATTTCACATAGAATTGTCTTCTTCTTTTTGTAAGCAGAAAATGTAGACTTGCATCAAGTACCTCTATGGATTAAGTTCCCTTTCTATTACTGCTAAGAGTGAACTGCAAAGATGTATTTGCTCTTTTTCCTCTCTTTTTTAATAAGTTAAGGATTTGTTAATCATTCTTCCAGCAACACACACACACAGACAGACGAGGTACTGGGAAAGACCCAAGGGGGGTGGGGTGGGGTGGGGGGCGGTATCGGGTCCTCACCCTGGTCCTCACGTGGAGGGGAGCTGCTTCTCAAGGACCCGGAACCCAGCTTGGCTATGCCACTTCCCTTCGGCCCAAGAAATCCTGTCCCTTGTTTGAGAAACAAACCAAGTATAAGGGGGTGGGGTGGGGTCTTTATTCTTTTAGCCCCGTCGACTTAGACAGGGCTGGGGCCACTCAGCTCATTTCTCTGATGGGTCAAAACAAAACATCCTCGTTTTCTATCAGCAGCTGCACAATCAGCTTCTGGTACCGCATGTCGTGCAGGGTGGTCAGGGTGCTGTCCTCCGGGGGCCGCATCAGGGTAGGCCCAAACACAATGCCCAGGTTTTCTGCATTCATGAAATTGTCCTTTTCGTTCACGGTCACCCTGCGAGACAAACACATACACAGAGACCTAAGTAGATGTGTGGATAAAACCAGAGACTCGTTACGGACTTCTTTTCCTGACACCCCCCCCACCCCCAACTTTCCCAATCTCCTCACCCCTTACCAGGAGAAGTTCTCTGGCTTAGGGAAAGTACTATCAACCAATCAATCAATAGAAATATAGAAAAGTAGGGGATGCCTTATGATTTACTTTTCTTTTGCAGACGGCAGGCTTTGTCTTCAGCCTTTGTTATAAAGTGAAGCTGCTGGAGACACAACTTTGACCTTAGAAAATCAAAACTTCCCAGTCGATACGGAACTATCTTCTCAGGGACTTTGGTTCGACGTTATTAGCTGGACCCTGGGGCATACGTATTTCTAGGTGGTGCGAACAGTGAAGCTCTTGGTTACTAAGTGAAAGGTTGCCCCTTTAGACCCACCCAGAGGCAACTCAGAAGAAAGGCCTGGTGATCTATTTCTGAACGATCACAGCACCTGACAGTCCAATCCGTGGAGCACAGCTCGCTAAGACAATGGGGTCCCATTGCCTGTCTGTGTGTCTGCTGGGGAGCAGGAAGCCAAGGGCAGGTTCCCTGTCTGTTGCTGGGGCTGGTGCCAGGAGAGAAGGGATGATGCTAGAACCAAGCTGCCAGGAGTGTACGAATAGCCAGACCATTATCATGGAGTGGGGTGGGGCTGGACACAGGCCAAACAGGAAAGCTGTTGTGCATGATCTCTAGTTCCCACAGGATGAAGTCTGGGGCAGTCATTACGACTGGCGTTGAAAAACCATCATTTCAACATCCCGAAAAGAACAGCAACATTTTTAAGAATGAGATTCAAACGAGAGTTGACTGAATTCCTTGCTAGGGGAATCAAGTTACATCCCCCATGGAGGTATGGAGAAATGTTCATAAGGGATGTGAAGGGCAGTCAGTTCCCCTCAGAAGGGAAAACTACATCGAGACCCTCAGACCCTTGAAGCATATCAGGGTTGGCATTTTGCTATCATTCCAGCAAGTCAAGTCGGCTTGCATTATTTCCCTGGTGTAGAGCCAAAAAGGAGGTAGCAAAGGAGACATGTTAACTGTCCGAGTGTTCATGTCTCTCTGTAAGTCAGTCATTGCACTTGACCATGCAAGATGCACGCTAAACCAGCAGGAGACAAATACTAAACTACTGGCATCTGCCTACGCCCAAGTAAGGAGGTGGAGTGAATCACACCAAGGTCACTGCCATTCAGTTGATTCTGGAACCCTTGGGGGTGTAGCGGCTATGCATTGGGCTGCTAACTGCAAGGTCAGTGGTTCAAAACCACCAGGGAGAAAGATGTTCTACTCCCATAAAGAGGTACAGTCTCGAAATCCACAGGGGCAGTTCTAGCCTGTGCTATAGGGTTGCTATGAGCCGGCACCGACTCGCTGGCAGTGGGTTTGGTTTGGGGGAGTACCGGTTCCTGAGACTTTGCTGGGAGATGCTAGCACCTGTCCTGAGAGTGGAACTTTGTTTCCCAAATGTAAAAATGGACATTGATCACGACTGAAGAGTTTATAAAGACTTGAGAGTAAAGTCAAGTCTGACACTTGTCCCCAAATCACTTGTGCTCTTAAATTCATTAAGTGGAACTGTCCTGAGCTGTTAAGTGCTCTTGGGTTGATTCTGCTACATGGTGACCCCATGGGTTAGATCAGTGGTCCTCAACCTTCCTAATGCTGTGACCCTTTCGTATAGTTCATGTTGTGGTAACCACCCCCAACGATAAAATTATTTTCGTTGCTACGTCATCACTGTCATTTTGCCACTGTTATGGATAGGCGGACCCCTGGGAAAGGGTCATCGGCCCCCCACAAGGGCACGACGCACAGGTTGAGAATCGCTGGGTTGGAGAGTAAACTGCCCGTAGGGTTTCCTTGGCTGTAATCTTTACAGAAATATGTTGCCAGGGCTGTTTCTGCTGGACCTGCCGGTGGGTTCACCCAGTGTAAGGAACCAGGGGTGCTACCTACCCAAAATCAGGGCCACTGAGTCAATTCCAACTCATAGCGACCCTAGACAGGGTTTCTGAGAATGGAGATCTGTATGGGAACAGACAACTTCCTCTTTTTCCCATGGAGCTCCTTAAAAATGACATCATTTTATCCAAAAGTCAGTTGCAAATTCAATAAATAAATCAACCTGGGAATATCCTGGGCAAACTTCGATCTCTGTGTACCCAGGTCTGAGCAGCAGCATGTCTGTATTGTATAGGGGATACGAGACAGGAAAGCCTGAACACGGACTGTTTCTCTAGCATTGTCCACTTGCGTCCTTCTGCGTGGTCTGCTCTGGGGCGGGAGAAGGGGCAGGCGGCTTACTTCTTGAGGTGGATCATCAGGTACCGGAGCGTCTCATAGTGCGCAGGCGGCAGCAGCAGCAGCACTTCGTGGACCGCTTCCAGTCGCTCGTCTGCGTTGAGGATTTCTGTGGAGGCAGGACACGTGTCAGCGCAGAGCGGACACATCAGGACACGTGTCAGCGCAGAGCGGACACATCAGGACACGTCGGCGCAGAGCGGACACATGTCAGCACAGAGCGGACACATCAAATTAAGGTTTTCAGAGAAGTTTGGAGTTCTTGCTTGCTTTGGCTACAGGTGTGTGTGTGTATGTGTGATCTAATGCAGTCCTGAAATTGCAGATAATATTTCGTTGAACAAATGACCCGTATTCCACCTCAGTCCAGGGGGAGTTTGAGGCTGAGCACCACCTGTTTGCTGAACACCCGCACTGTGGGTGGCGGGGGAGCACACAGCCCTCGCCTTCCAGGGGTATGCAGGCTGGTGGAAGGCTAAGTGTTTGGTGACACAGGCACAAACCGGGCCTGGCTCATCTTCAGAAGGATGCAGGATGGGCCAGAAAGCTCACTAACACAGACTTTTGACTTCAATGATACCACATGTGGCTGTGTTATCTTGCAGTGGTCTAATAATCAATTTCCCGGCAGCCCTCCATAGCTGAATATCTGAGGTGACGTGAGGGCACTCACAGGCAGGGGAGGCGGCCAACTCAGCAGGCACGAATGTCACACTTCCCCCGCGTGTTGGCACGGTCGACCTGGTATGCGGCCCATGTTAGGATGTAGATACCAGGCGCACACACAATAGGAGGAAGTGGGCATGCTTCTGCCCTCTGGGCCTCTGATGGGTGTTGGCTGCCACTCAAAGCAAGCCCTCCCCAATTTCTCCTGGGGAAGAGGGTGCCCAGCTATTTAAACCCTTCCAGCCCTGCCCATCAGAACCATGGTAGAAAGGTCTGCCCACGCCAGAGCATAGGGCCAGAGCCCATGTGGGAAGGCTTTGCTATTGGTAGGTGCTGACCAGTCCACTCAGCCCCATAGTGACCTCGTGGCAAACACCCGAGTCCTGCGCCGTCCTTACAATGGTCATGTTGGAGCCCCGTGTTGCAGCCACAGTGTCAATCATCCCACTGACAGTCTCTCTCTCTTTTGGTGACCAATTAACCCAGGACTGGCCTTTCCTGATAGCACGTCCAAGGGAGGTGGACGGAGTCTTGCCATCTTTGCTTCTAAGAAGCTTCTCGGGAGTCCATCTCACACTCAGCACAGCCTACCCCGCCTATGTTTCCCGGTCAGACATCACATGACTGTATTTAGCGGCTGAAGATGATTATTGTAATAATAAAGTAGGTTTGAGTGGGGTGTCATGCATGCTAGGACCTGCATCGCCCCCTCCTCGCTGTGGCTTGTTACTGGGCAACATGTCTCCTCCTCCCTACACTGAGGTCCTCTCGGTGGACAGCAGGGCCCAGGTGATCTCTACTGACTGCTGACCCCTGACTGAGTAACTGCGGGCTGACGAAGGCAATGGTGGATGCTCCATTTCCAGGTCTCTGAGCCTCCTCTTCCTCCTCCGTAAGATGGGGATGACTACACCTGTCTTGTAGACAGTGGTGAAGATTCTTCTCTTGTGGTTCCCTCCTTTCCACGAACTTCTTGAAGCCCCTTTAGTGGAGGACTTGGTACAGTGTGCTGCTAGGTGCGGTTGAGCTACAACAGAAGGAAACGCTCCCTGGTCGCTCCCTTGCCACCGTGGCTATGTCTGAGCCCAAGGTGCACGACGAACAGCATTCATAGGAGAAACGGGGACTGTGAGGTTCTAAAGGAATGGAAGTCCATCTAGACAAGCCTCATTGGGCAACACCTGCCTTCCCTCAGACACAGGCATGCTGTCAGCATGAAAGAGCAGTGGTGTAGCCATGTTGGCCCTCACATAGAAGGAGTGACAGGGAGGGCCAGTCTGGCACCCAGGTTCAGCCCTGTTTCATGGGGTTGGAACGGGTCAGTGTGGATGGGTTTCCATGTCGTGTTTGGCTGTGTCCTTACGTGGAAAAGCATGGGGCTCATGGAATAACGCAAGCCTTTCATTCATTTTCTTGTGCTCCAAAGAATTTTATGTCAAACTTTGGTCCTCATGCCAACTGAGTTCTTAGTACTTACTCGCTGCGTCTATGAATTTGGAATAGGTGTCGTAAGTGATGACAGGGATGGGTAAGTCTCTGAAGTAGAGTTTCAGGGCCCCGGTGATGATGTTTATGTCTGGATAGATGTTGGCAGATATATCGGCCTTTTCACCATCTGAAAAAGAATCAATGATCCAAATTTTAATTAGTGTCTTCTTTCACCAAGTCAAAACATGCACAGAATTAAAACAACACAAAAGAAAAACGAAACCCCACCGTGAGTACTTCCCTCTAAGTCTCAGCTAATTACTTGGCTTCTAATAACACAGAGGTGCAAGGAGATCGAGGGAAAGCAGTGGGGAGAGCGAGGTCAGTGTCCGAGGGTTCTGTGGAGCCCAAGAGGGGAGCAGAGTAGACTTGGCCACAGGCGCTGGTTGGGTGCACCTGAATTTGGATCATAGGGATGAAGGCTCCCAACAGTACAGAAACAACCAAGGGCTCACTATCTAATTTGAAACAAAAATCAAGCTGCTCCACCATTCTCCTTTGGACTTGAATTTGGAGGCCAGACATAAGTGATAGTTGAACATCTTCAGTTTCTATTGTCCTGTTTACACTCACTGACATTCCCTTTTCGTTTTTTAATATATTACAAATTATTTTTTTATTGTGGGTTGGGTGAAAGTTTACAGAGCAAATCAGTTTTCCCTTCAACCACTTATATATATGTTGCGTCATGTCATTGGTTGCAATCCCCACAACATCCTATCCCTGATCCCATTTCCTCCCGTTTCCTGTCTCCATCCCTCCTCCTTTTCTAACCTTTCTTGCCCCTGGAACTTGCCTCTTAGGCAAACACTGATGCTTTGATCTCAAATGGCTGATTCTTCTACTTCCCTCATGGTATTGTCCCCCTGGTAGATCTGTTAATGGTCTGTCCGAAAATGGACCTTCAGTTCTAGGCCTGAAAGGTGATGAAGGGCCATTGTCTCTGGGGTTCTACTAGTCTCCAGCCTACCAGGAAGCCTGATCTATTTTGTGATTGTGAGTTTTGTCCCATATTGTTCTGCTCTAGTCAACCTGCACCGTTAAGAGTGGCCAGAACCTCCAAGACTTTCCATACTGTCTTGGGGTCTGGGCTTCATCCAGGGGGCTAGGGGCTATATCCCTTGTCTGGCTACATCAGAATTATTTGGATTGTTCATTAGAAATCCAGATTCTAGGGCTCATCCAGGTCGACTGAATGGTCTCCAGGGTGGGTCCCAGTAATCTGTGTTCTTGACCAGACACCCCACCCCCACCCCCAGTTGGCTTGATGTCTGACCCATGAGGCCACATGGTCTAGATTAAACCTGGCACTACCATAAAGAACGAGATGCACTAGCTCCTAAAAGACTAGTGGCTTCTCCTATTTCAGTGCTGGGGATTCTCCCTATTCTAGTTGGGGCTTTGGGTAAAGGAGAGAGATCAATGGGATCCTGAGTTGGGGGTGCAGACGGGTACACTGGTACCATGTGCACGGACTGGGACTTTTGGGTAATGAGGTCTAACATCTTAAATGGTGCCAAATGTCGGTTGCTGATTCAAGTCTTCTAAACTCGCTTCCATGTGGGGACTGGGCTTTTAAGATGATACAGAGCATCCAACTATGAGATTTGGAAGCCTCTGATCCTCAGTTTGTGAAGAGCAGGTATCAGCAACTATGAAACCCCATTCCCACTCCGAGGAAAATGTGGTGCCCAAAGGCAGGGTGCTGAGGAGAAGCCAGGGGGCAGTCACGGGTTTGAGCCTACCTCGGTCAAAGGCCATTTTGACGTCTTCTATGTGTTCAGTGAAGCCAGAGACTCGGTAAAGGCCTTCTGACTTCAATCCTGTTAGAAACGGAGAGTGGGAAAAATGAGAGAGTGATTCTGTAACAGACAACCCACAACATCTAAAAGGAAGTCTCGCTTCATGGCCATGCTGTGTGGTGTCAGGAAGGGAGAAAACGTAGTCGTGTTCTTACGGCTTTTAAACTGTCGTGTCAGAATGTGGACCAGCCCCCTCCACATCCAGGGTGAGTCTGTTGTCAGTGGCTGGTGTCACTAAGGGACACTAAGGGACACGGGGTCTTCTTCCTGCCTGACCCTAGAGGTGATGGATGTTGTTCATCCACGTTCGTTCTCCCTTCTGATGCCCGGCAGACTGACAGACACAGGCTTCACTGCTCCGGCCAGCTCCCTGCCCCCCCCTTACCACCACCCCCATCCCTTCCCCCCTGAGCTCGATCAGTGTGGTGTGGTTCTCTGCTAGGCCACATCCTCGTAGGTACGTGTGGGGGTGTGTGTGGGGTATATGATATCTTGATTTTACAGGAATAACCAAAACTTGATACCTTTCTACTTTTAAAAAAATCACAAATAAGGTAACAAGTGCTTGGCTTTCATGGACTTAATTGTTAAGAATGGCCATAGAAACAGATACATATAAACCATTAACATAAAATCTTTGACAATGATTTTGAAAACTTGATCATGGTGCATTTAGGCTAACAAAAAGGCTTCACTTATGTTCTCAGAGTTTATTAGTCCAGCTTTGCCCAAACCAACCCAAAGTCACTGCCATTAAGTGGATGCCGATTCACAGCAGCCCCTCTGAGTTTCCAGAGCTGTACCTCTGTGGGGGGAGAAAGCCCCGTCTTTCTCCCAAGGAGCAGCTGTTCATGTCAAACTGCTCACCTCATGGTGATCAGTCCAATCCATAACCAGTCCACCACCAGAGCTCTGAACCAGATCCCCCAAATAGCCGAAGGGGTAGACTCGGCAGGGATAGAGACGCAAGCTTTCGGATCTTGTATGTAAAAAAAAACAGGCTCCTATCTAAATTATAACGATAGCAAAAATGAGCACGCCGACAGCTTCTGCTGCCGTTATAGCATAAAACACACAGAAACAAGCTCACCCCAAACGAACACCCTGCCCAGGACTCGACCCTGACTCACACCAACCTCCTCGGCTGGAGTAGAACTGCTCCGGAGGGCTTAGGAGATGGTAAGTCTTTACAGAGGTAGGCAGCCTCATCTTTATCTTGTGGAGTGGCTAATGGGCTTGGACCGCTGACCTTTTGCTTAGCAGCCTATTGCGTAACCCATAGAGCCAGCACCTTCTGTTCTATTCTTCATCACTTGTCTTTATGCCTGTTCTTACACGCGACCAACATGTAGTGCATGCATGTAATCTCCTGCGTATGATCTGCACTGGGTCTGGATCAGAGACCGCACACACCTGGCAGGCCTGGCACTCCTCCTCTCAACCAGGACCCAGCCAGACATGTTTTGTTGCCCTCAGCCCTGCCTCTCACTGAATCCTACTCCGCTCTAGAACTTGGCCTCTTACAGCTGTCCAAGTTGCCACGACCAATCAATGGGACAATGAAATCAAACCTACTTCCTGTCCTGCCCTAGATGGTGCATGTTAGCACATCCCAGTGTGGCCGTCACATGCACTGCAGCGGAGGAAGGGTCACGAGGCCGCATGGGGTCATACTGAAGGGCAGTGCTCACCCTGCCTGCCGACAGACAGTGTCTATGGAGGCCTTACCGAGGAACTATTCTCTGAAGGAGGATGGCTGGCGTTTATCAGGAGAGGAGAGCAGCTGCCCACTGTCCTTCTAATATCTGCTCTCCCCTTCCTCGGTGGTAACAGAGCCTTTGATTTTTTAAGATACATTTCCCAGCATCCACTGCAGTGTGATTAAATTCTGGTCCATTTACAGAGCACAGAAGTGATGGGTGGAGCTTCTGGATTGTACTTATGAAGGGAAATAGGCACATTTTGTTCGTCCTTCCCCCTTCCCATTGGTTGGGGTGGTGGCCCACAAGGATGGCTGACCACTAAGGTAGCTAGTTCTGGGTTTTGGCATCTGGGTAGCTGCTCTGCCCAACCTGATGGCTCCTGGGCATCTGGATGTCTCTTGAGAAATAGATTTCTGTCTTGTTGAAGACATTGTTTTGTGGCATTTCTGTGGCAGCATTCAAACTGGTGGTTTTGGTAATAATAGTGAGGCAGACAAATTTGGAAGTGGCGTTAAGAGAAATGGTTTGGCAAGAAAAGGTGAAAAGAAACAATGCTGATACAGTTCTATATGTTGGATACCGCATCAGGTTATTCCTGTGTATCAGCTCATTGTAAACCTCAGAGTCTAGTTTGTCGGTATAATTGATTACATCTATTTTACAACTAATGAATGGGAGTTGGGGCTGCTAATGAGATAACCGATATGCCCAAGGTCATACTTAGAGCCCATGAGAGGTGGGGCTAGGATCCTAACTTCCAGTCAATGATCTTTTCACTCTACCATGTCATACAGAGACGTATGAAAGAACATTTGGGGACAATACAGAATTTTCTGTAGACTGAAGACAGACAGGAAAGTAAGGGCCATGTTGGTTTCTTCCAGTTGACCCCTGGTTCCACTCACTTTTTTCAGTCCTGTAACATCTGTGGATCGGAGCCCTGGTGGCGTAGTGGTTACACGTTGGGCTGCTAACTGGCAAGGCCAGCAGTTCAAACCCTCTAGCTGCTCCTCGGTAGAACAATGAGGCTCCCTCCACTCCTAAAGAGTTATAGTCTCAGAAACCGACAGGGGCAGTTCTACTGTCTTATAGGCTCACTAGGAGTAGGAATCAACTCGACAGCAGCGAGTGTGGTTTTGGTTTAATATCTGGGCAGGAGCCCTGGTGGCATAGTGGGTTATAAGCTGGCCTGCTAACCACGAGGTCAGCGGTTCCAAAACCCAGCTGTTCTGTAGGAGAAAGATGGGACTTACAGCAAAGATTCCCAGTCTCAGCAACCCCCAGGGGCAGTTCTACGGTGTCCTCTAGGGTCACTATGAACTGGAGTCGACTCAATGGCAGCGAGTTTGGTTTTGGGGTTTGGCTAACAGCTGTCTTTGGATATAAACTTAGTTCCGGTGTTTCTGTAGCTCTGGTACTAGGCATGCCCGCCTGTGCTCCCCGGGACTGTCCCTAAACATCATACATGGTGGCGATCTTGCTTGAACAATCAGTCTTCTCTGATTGAGGTAAATAAGCATGCGTGTATGTATTCAACAAATGTTAACGGAAGATATAAAAATCCACTATCCTTGGCCCTAATTTCAGAAGAAAGACGGGACTTTCTACTCCCGTAAACAGTTACAGTCTAGGGGACCCACAGGGGGCAGTTCCACCCTGTCCTAGTGGGTTGCTGTGAGTCAGCATTGGCAATTGGCAGTGAGTTGTTTGTTTTTTAACAGTTTTGGTCCTAATTACAGATTCTAGAGAAGTTACTGATCTAACCAAGTTGCAAAATTTTCTAAATAGTGGGACCTAAGGCCACTTGTCCCAGTCCTGTATACTGGATCAAGGTATGCCTCTCCTCTTTGGGGTGTCCTGTGTGAATCTGGTACACTTGCATCGAGACCAGGACCAAACCCAAAGAGCCAATTCAGCTCCGACAGCCACAGCAGTCAAAAGGCTGGGGGCATTCCTTCAAATCTGAGGTTGGCTGACCAGTCCTAAGGGAACAGAACCACGTAGCTTTGCTTGTCTATGGGACAGAGAGTAATTGCCTATCTTTAAAAGGCCTGGGATCACAAGATAGAATGCCCTCTTCTGGTTCGTCCGAGAAAGAACGGGATGGTTGGCTTATGAATAAACCCCCAGAGTCCAGGAAGACAATACCCATACTAGGGTAAGTCACCAAGTATGGCTGCGAAAATAATAAAAACCTTTACTAGAGAAAAGTAGCAAGATGTGAAGCTACCGTTTCTCAGCATCTCCTGTGTAGGCCTAGATGTACTTCTGAAGGCAGGGTGTTCACGTCTCTCTCTCCCCTCTCCCCAGGGAAACGGCAGTGCTAACATCCTCCAGGGCCTCCAACCATGTTCCTTCTCAACCTTCTTTGAATTGGGGGACCAAGACAAGTCTGAAGGGGCAAGATCAGGGCTGTGGGATGGATGGGGTAGCGTTTCCCAAGAACATCCTTGTGGGGCAGCCCTGGCTCCCCTCAAAGAAGAGGCAGGCACATTGTCGTAAAGGGAAAAACACATTCCTCACGGCAATGTTCCTGACCTTCTCACCAACGGAGTTTTCCCCTGGAACCCCTGTTCTGATCTGCTTTTTAAAGAACTCTTTAAACCGGTAACCCCTGGAAGCCACTGTTCTGATCTGCTTTTTAAAGAACTCTTTATTGAGAACGGGGTGAAGGATCCCAGTTGTCCATGCAATAATGCATACACAGGCTAAGAGAATTCGTCTGCAGGCTGCTTACACATGCGCGTTGGGAATAAGCCCCTACATATCTGCGCCGGAACCCCAGTTGCTATTATGTTTTTACTCTCCCTCGTAGGCGGTCCGAACAGTTAAAGCCTTACAAAGATTTTATCCATGGCCTAGCAGTTCAGGTCCACCGTATCGCTCGATGTTTTGACATTGACTCATTGCCAACGAAAGCACAAAGAAAGGAGAGACGACTCAAGCCCGGCATAAAGAACCTTTTGTTGGACAAGTTCCTACCACCTTTTCCTTCTCGATTAGACGGGCTACTATCTTAGCGCTCTTCACTGAAACAAACAGAGCCACTCTTAGGGGCACATTTCTGTATGATCGGCGGCATAGGCTTTGATCAATGATTTCTTATTTCATAGAATTAAAAAAGGGGGTTACTGTCATTCGGGTGACGGCTTACGGAGCAGATCACCGATCCCATCTTCAAGGAATTCAAGAGCTACTCCCACTCACCTCTTTCAATCCCACCTCCCAGTGTTTCCTGTTTGCCTTCCCCTTTGCTCTGAGTCGACCCCGCCCTGTGGATCTTCTAAGCGTGGCTATGCTAACACGGAGTGAGCTTAGTTTCAGACCTGAAGGGCGACTAAGGCCCATAGTCTTGGGGTTCCCCCCAGTCTCATCCAACCTTAAGAAGCCTGGTCTTTTTTATGATATTGAGTTCTGTTGCAAATCTCCACACCCCTCTGCCCCCCACTATCTAGAACCTTCTAATGTGATCCTATTCAGAGTGGTTGGTAGTGACTGCTACCCACCATCTCGCTCTTCTCATCTCAGGGTTGTAGACACTCAAGTCTGTCCTTCCTGAGTCCACGGGACTAATTCTTTCCATGTGCCTTCTGATCATCACCCCTCGCTTCCCCTCTAGACAGGGAGCTCCATGTGCCAACCTGAGGTGACTGCTCGTGTGCGTGGGAGACCTTTGTCACGACTCCTCACAGTGGGACATAGAACACTGTCTTTGTGAATTATTTTATGCCAACTGACTTTTGCGTCCCTTGAGCCTATGGTCTCGAGCCCCCAGGCCTGGAACTCATTCCCTTAAAGTGTTTGGTTGTGTCTAAGATATTCTCATATGGTGCCCCTGAATGCTCTACCAGATTCATGAAGATATTTGCAGCAGAGGAAAATACACACATACAACCATCTTCTGTCAAATCTCTCTCTCTTTATGTGTGTGTGTATGTGTATATATATATATACACATATTTGTAAGCATACTCCCTCTCTCCCTTGCACACCTGTTTAGCTTGTTGTCTAGCCAAGCATCTAGTCCCCGATGACCATTATTGAAGGATTGTGTACATGAGTGTTCGCTTTTGTTGCCTTTAACTCTTGCAAACCTCCCAGTGTGTCCCTCTACTTCCATATTTATTTCCTAACCTCTCTCCTGCTATATCTTGCCTTTACAACATACTCATTGCAAACCTGACCTCTGCCTTCTTTCTGAAGGGCTATCTGAATTGTTCTCCAGTGACATTTCTATGTCTCTTGTGGTGTTTCCAAGCTGCTACGGGTATACACACCTGCAAAATGATCTGGCCACTCACACGACAGCTACAGCATGCATTTTTTTGGCTTTTTTGGAGGTGAGAACTGTGACGTTTATGTTTTCAAGGCCGTGGACATCATGGCTTATATAGGGAGGGAAATGGATATAATTGATTGGGTAGGAAGTGGAAAAAGCTAGCTGTGTGCACATGTGTGTGTAGGCCATTTTCCTCACAACAGTCAACATACAACACCCTACAATCTAAAACAATCACCACAGTAGAGAACAGTTTCCAAACCTCTCGCTTCAATTTCCCGGATGCAGATGTCTACCACCATGGGCCTCTGGCTGTTGTGCGCTTTCACGAGTGTGGTGAGGTCGCAGCAATACACTTTCTTGATCCTCTTGAGATCCGGCTGGCAGTCGTTGGGCACGTGCTTGGAACACTGCTTGTGCACGTTCAATCCACAATCTGTGAGCAAAGAGGCCACGTTAGCCTGGTCCCGCCCTTTGGTCAAAGACAGAGAGATGCAGATTATGTTTCCGAAGAGAAAGAAACACGCCCAAGGTTTGGGAGTTGTTCTCTGGAACATTCCAAGTCGAGACGGCCAGCTCCACAAGGTTTGGATAAACTCTCTTTATTCACGACTCTGCCATATCGAGACCCTGCACCAGGCGGAGATGCCTCGGCGGGTCTCTAAGACGGAGAGGAGACTATGATTCAATGTTTCTTCTTAAGCCGTTTCTGTTATTAGACCTTAGACCGGAGCAGTCCACTGAGGCAGCTTAGGGAATAAGATGGACTGACTTTCTCTTTCCCCCTTTCAGGGTTGGAATGATTTGAACCCACAAGTAGGCTTTTGGGTTTGAGTCCCCAGAGTGAACAATGGCTCATAAATGGCATGTGGGACCTCTGCAGGGTGCTTCCATCCAGTCCTGAGAGGAGACATGCTTGGCTCCTCTGTGCCGTTTGCGGCCATTGATTCAGCTCCCAACTCCTTCACAATGGAATGAGATGTGACCTGGTCCTGAGCCACCCCCGGGCTCCCTTATGAATCCAGTCATTGAACCCCACAGGCTGATTTTCAGAATGAGATCACCAGGACGTTCTGCTAGGATTTCTTACTCTAGAAGCTCTGCTGAATCCATCCCACTTAGTGTCCTAGCGACATGCAAGCCTGCCCTGGCAGACGGGAGGCAGCTGCTCATGAGGTGAGGTGTTCTGGAATCAAACCCAGGTCGCCACCTGGAAGGAGAGGCTTCTACTACGGAACCACCGACGCCCCACCCACTCTGGAGGCAATTCTAATCTTGGATTGGAGGGGCCCGTGAAGGGTCCATGGCCACTGGCATCCTCTTGCTATTTCCTGGAGAGTGATCTCATTGCTTCTAACTTGTTCTATTGGTGGGGCAGATGCTGGCTGACAGTTTTCTTTTCTCCTTTCCTCATTTTGACACCTGTGAGATGGAAGTAAGGCCTCACTGGACACCAGTGGGCGGAGCTGAGAGTTTACGATTTATAACAAAGCCATGTAATATGATGATTAGAGTAATTATTTATAGAGCGCATTATCAAGACCCAGAGCTGAAAAGGTGATGTTAAGTTCAATGAACACATTAAAAGCCTTGTGAGCAGTTGGTGTCCACTGACGGAATTTCTCTGACGTGAACAAGGCACTGTCAACATGCTGGGAAAGAAAAAGGCCATGCCGGCAATGCTCACAGTCAATGGGTGACCTGCTCGATGTGCCTTCTCACATTTATCTGGGCATGACGAAAAATAGCGTACATGCACACTACACACACGCATGGTTAACGTCATCATCAGCTGCTTTACAGAAAACATTTAATCACGAAGATTAGAGAGGGTCTAAACCTTTGTATGCAGTGGATTAAGCTGTAGGCTGCTAACGGCAAGGTTGGCAGTTCCAATCTGCTAGCCACGTCGAAGGAGAAAGATAAGACTTTCTGCTCTCGTAAGATTCGTACTCTCGGAAACCCTCGGAGCAGCTCTGCTCTGTCCTAGAGTGGGGCTAGAAGTCAGCATTGACTCGGTGGGGTTCGAGCTTTGTAAAATCACTGGTCATTTCTCAGTGACTTTCCTATAAGGCTTACTGACTGAATTCTCTCTGTCTATCCTCCTCCCGAGGAAAAGTCAATTCCGATGCATCTTAATTGTATCAACACAAGAGACGTAATTTAAGCTCACATAAATATCCAACTTATTTGGACAGATCTGCTTTGTGGCTCTCCATATTGGAGAACTGAATAGATACAATTCATTGGTTTTCTTGTCTGATTCCCTTTTCCCAAAGGGGAGGTTAATAATAGTGCCTACCTCTAGGGGTTGCCTTGAGGATCAAGGAAATTAGCATATTTAAAGTGCTCATAAATGTGCCAGAAATATAATAAGCACTTTTCAAAAGTTGAAGACAGCCCGGTGATACACTGATTAAGTTTTGAACTGTTACCTGGAAGTTTGGCAGTTTGAACCCACCCAGTGGCTCCACAGGAGAAAGATCTAGCGATCTATTTCCCCAAAGATCCTCAAACCACTGCCAGTGAGTTGATTCCCACTCATGGGGAACCTCTACACTATAGGGCTTCTGAGACTGTAAATCCTTACTATGGGAGCCGTTAGCCTCATCTTCCTCCTGTGATGCAGCTGGTGGGTTTGAACCACCAACCTTACAGTTAACAGCACAATGCGTATCCCACTGCACTACCTGGGCTCCTTCTGTAAAGATGAAATCCTTGAAAATCCTTATGAGGCCATTCCATTCTGTCACAGCAGGCAGGATGGGTGAAGTATTATGGAAATAGGACAACCAGCAGCTAGTGATAAAAACATCGGGGTACCTGGCCAGCTCTTCTCATTCCACAAGTAGTCTTCCCTGTGTTCATACAAACTTCATTTTAAGAGGAGGCAAGAGCATAGTCATCCCAGGAGAAGCCGGGGAGTTTGTCCTGATCATAAGGACCTTGGCCCTGTATCTGGCTGAAATAACACCATTAGGGATTTTGGGCTATGCTGAATCTGGACTGGCCAATGTAAGGGCCACCGAGTCAGCCTGGCATGCTGCTTAGGGTTTCTGGTGTGAGCTACCTTGGCCTTTTGGGTTGGTCTGGGACTGGACTTCAGGGATTGCTGCATTTACATGGTGGCTGGTCTATGCTGCCGAGTCAATTCTGTGCCATGCTGACCCCCGTGACAGCGTAGAAGTTCCCCCTTGGGCTTCCTAGGCCTGTCATCTTTAGAGAAGGGCTAGGTTTTTCTCCCACAGAGATGCTGAGTGGCTTCGACCTGCTCACCTTTCTGTTAGCAGCTGGATGCTCAATGGTTGTACCAACGGGGCTCCTTATTGATTCACAGTGGAAACTAAGAAATCCCCTCCACCCAGGAAGGAGAGTTTAAAGAACTCTGGGCCCCTGTGAACCAAATTGGGGGGTGGGGTACACATGTGAACTCGATTTCCTGATTGCTGCCTCCTTGGCTTATTTTAGTTTAGATGCTTCTTAGGCATTTAAAAGAAAGTCGGTTAATTCAAGTCATACCTACCAGCAAGGAGGAGACTGGCCCCGGTGTTGGGGGAAACCCAATCAATTATCACCAGAGGCTGTTCTTGCAGCTGGCCACAAGTGTTTGCCAGAGAAAGTGTGGCAAGATGGATTAGGAAGCCGAGCTACACATGAAATTGGCAGCTCCCGGCCATTTTGTTAGCTATAGCTTAGTCAGTAAGATAGGTTGCATGCTGTTAGCAATGGGTGCGTACCTCCACTCCAGCCAGAAAAATACCTAGGGTTTCAGAGTGCTTTGAAAGGATATGCCATCAAATCAAGGGCTAATCTGATGGCAAGAAAAAGCTGAGCAGGAACTGTGGAGTCAGCCTGCTCTGATTCAATGTGCCATTACTTACTAGGTGGCCATGGGTGATGGACAATTGTATCTATCTCTAAGCCTTGGCTTCCTCGGTATAATGGGGAGGATAATGGGAGCCCCCCGCCCCACCCCACAAAGGCTGCTGGCCAGGTTCAGCAGCATGACCAGCATACAGTGCTTAAGGAGCTTGGGTTGGTGTTAATTTAAAGGCTGGCAGTTCAAGCCCACCCAGAACACAGCCAAAGAAAGGCCCAGTGTTGAGCCAGCTACCAATTGCTCAGTGCCTGGACTGGAGGTATGTATGTCTCATAATGTTTATATCCTGACTTTGTTAGCAAGGGGGTGGGGGGGAGAAGTGGCTCTTCTCCTTCTGCAATTCTCTTGGGGTTCATTTTAGAACAGCTCCCTATTGTGAAGGAGCCCTGGTGGCAGAGTGGGTGGCCTGCTGAGTTGTGAACCACAACGACAGCAGTTTGAATCCACCAGCGGCTCCGAGGGAGAGAGATGCAGCCGTCGGCTCCTGCAAAGATGCAGACGCCCAGGGGGCCGTTCTACTCTGTCCTAGAGGGTCACTCTGAGGAGGCCAAGATGAATCGCTGGCAGTGAGTGAGAGGGTTTGGAGGGTTGGCGATGACATTTCTTGTCATTCATGGAGGAGAGCCAGTTCAGTGCCCAGCGGAATGCCACTCCCAGGCAGCCTCCACCCGTCTGTGGGTGGAGGCGTGAGTGTTGCTATTGTGCGGAACAGATTTTCGTGGAACTTCCAGACTAAGAGGCACTAGGAAGAGCCCTCGTGATCTGCCTCTGAAAAGCAGCCGAGGGAAACCTTGTGGATCACAGCAATGTGATCGCCAGCGAATTGTGGGGATGGACGTCGGCTCAGGACTGGATGCTGACCCGGTGGCCACGGACAAGTTCAGAAGGACACCCTGTGGTGGGAGGCAGGCCCACGGAAATGGACGGGCTTTCTGTTCGCGCCTTGCACCTACAGGGTGTCTTCCTTCTCCTCCTGACAAAGACCTGGAAGCAACTTCCCACCAAGCAATGGACACCTTGAACCCTGGAGCAAGCTAGGCTTTTGCACGAATCTGGGCACATGGCCCAGCTCTGGCAAGATGCCTCCTCCTTCTCCATGAGTTGCCACTTGGGTCACTAGAAAGGAATAAAGGGGGCCCGAGCCTCACCTGAGCACTGGACCCCTTGGGCGATGAGTCCCCACATGAAATTGGCACAATATTCACACCAGTGTGGGCCTCGGAATGTGTGCACCTGTGGGAAAAGAAAAAAGAAAGTGAGAAATGGCAAAGAATTCAGAGTCAAGATGTGAAACAACAATGGCTTTGGGGGCGGGAGAAGCATCCCTCCCAGAGCTTCGAATGCTCTGCCTTCATCTCCAAAAATCCAGCATGGGCCCCACCCTCCAAGTACAGTGCCAAACCAGCAGAACCAGTCTAATTTGAAGAACACAATGCTCCTGGAAGATGTTTTGGAATTTTACAAAAACGCACATACTGTCAGATGTTGGCTAAGATCTTTCAAAATAGCTAAACTCCCATTAACAAACCAAAGAAGTATAATGCCTTATTATTATTATCTTTTAAAGGGCACAACAGGAAGGTCTGATACACTGTTTAAAGTCAAACAAGTAAGACAACAAGTGGAACAGGACCGCAGGTATGGCCACAGTTTGGGGGGATTACGATGAGCGGTTCTACATTAAGTACATAATACAGAAAGAGACCAAAGAACCCTGCTTCCTGCCTGTTAGAAACTCACCGTCTATAAAAATGCTGAAAGAAATAAGCAAGTTAATAAGCCAAAGAGTAACCTTAGGGCCACGGTTTCCATTCAGTAAAACTAGTTAAGTTTGGTCTTTGGGTGGCTCAGACCCCAACCGCCCCTTACATTGTCTCGGCCTGAGACAGGGTGCACGGGTCTCTCCCGGTCTTCTTCCCAGAGAGAGAAGTGCGTGGCGCGTGAATGGCCAGGAGACTCAGCAAGCAGCCCTTGCAGGAATGCAGAGAACTTCATCCTAGGCGCATTTCATCTCGCTGAAATGTCAGGATTCATGTAGAGGCCCACTCAGTTGACTGAAGTGTGGGGGGAGGTCAGATGCGCAGGCATTCCCCCCTGAAGAAGTTCAGTCACCAGACCAAGGGGTGGGCCTGCTCCCTGCGGCTGGGGACACTGAGCTAAGGCTTGGGACCATTAGCTTAGTTCCTGTAGGTGGAGTTTTCACCCTACTGATAATGGTTCCTATGGAGACCCAGAGACCACCCTCATTACTGTGTAACCTATAGTCCAGCCCCTCCCTGTGACGTATGTCTCTACCTGTAATTAGTGGGCTGGCATGCTCCCAAAAGGGATATAGGTGTGGGTCAGCAATATAGAGCTCTCTGACCTCTCTCTGGATCCCCTCTCTCCCTTGTTCCCTTGCCCCTCTCTCCACGTGAACCACCAAGCTGGGCTGAGGTGAGCAATGCTACCATGTAATGTGTCTAACTGCATTATTGTAATATCTCTCATGCTCTCGATGACTTTAATATAATACTTATATATCTCAACCGTACAATTGTGTTTACTGAACCCGTAGGTAGTAGCAGCGGGTGGGGGCTGGCCCTTCACTCTCCAAATTTAATTTAATACTACAAATGGTGCCTAATGCATGGCAATGAGTTATACCCCATGTAACAATTGTACAGCCCCACCGGAATACAGAGTGAATCTGAAAATTATGTGAAGGAGGATCCGGTGTGGGGATTTTCAGATAAGTAGTGGAAATAGTGAATGAGTATTTTAAAGAGAACAATGGGGCAAGGTAAAAACAAATGTGAAACTTTGGTAGTACGCTCATCTACTTACTGAAAATACAGGGTGTAAAAGTAACAAAGAAAAAGATGCAATGTTTTCTAAAAGTAGTAAAAAGGTATAATCTATGGTTCCCGGAGGAAGGAACTTTTGATATAGAGACCTGGGAGAAGGTCATTGTTAACTTAAAGGAGGCACACAGAGATGGGAAGAGTATCGTGGTCTCAGTGGATTCAAGTTAAGATGGTTTTAGTACCTTTGCAGGAAGAAGAGAATAAGGATTATCAGTGTAGTGAGAAGTCTTGTGTGAGCGATCCTAATCTAGAAAAGCAAGCTAAAGTGTCTATGAATGAGTATGAATTAGGTGATGAAACTTTAGGAAAAACTGAAGCAGGGATTGATTTGTTATGTGAAGCCTCTGATTCTAAAAGAAACTTCACGGCCAAAACCTACATGCCCTCGGGGGACTACAGCCTCCAAAGGTTTAAAGGTGATAAAGTACTAGGGGCAGTGGATTCCAAGACCCAAAGCAAGGCTATTAAGCAACCCCAGGAAGCTCCCTTGCTTTTGAATGTAGGGAAAGCAGAGAAATAGAACCAATAGAGTAATGAGGAACATCTAAGCTACGCAAACCTAAATCAGGTGAGAAGCAGGCAGAATGGGTTTCAGGCAGATAAGATTTTAGGCAGAACTGAAAAAAACTAAGCCTGAGTCAGAAGGGGACATAGTAAAATCATCTGCTCCCCTGCTGGAATTTAGTGTAAGAAAGACCAGAGATTGTAAAACAATCAAGCAAGCCAGTGCTGGAGGTAGAGAGATTAGCTCTAAAGAAATGCAAACTAGGAGAGCTGACTCAGAAGAAGTAGTTAGAGAAGTGCATATAGAGAGCTTTAAACTAGAAAAGCTCAGAAAGCGAGAAGCAAAGAGTTAGAGAACAGAAAAGCACCTTTACTCTCATGGGTAGAGAAGAGTATAGCTCAAGAAGCAGATTTAGAATTCAGAATAGCTTATCCCGTTAGAATGATAGACAGGGAGCCTGATGAGCAGCACCCAGAAGGGAATCAAGAAAGGCGTTATACTGCCTTTCCCTTTAAGTTGCTAAAAGATCTCAACCAGGCAGTCAAAGATTATGGCCCAGACTCACATTTTGTAATTAGCATAATAAAGGCTCTAGCAGAGTCCGAGAGCTGGACCCCGACAGACTGGAGAGCTTTAGTGAAAATATATCTTTCCTCTTCAGAATATTTGCAATATCTTATGCTGTGGAAGGAAGCAGTGCTGACAAGAGCATGAGGGAATGCTGAGGATGGGATAGATATAGGAATTCATCAATTGCTAGGGGATGAGAAGTATATCACAGTTGAGTCCCAACTACAGTTTACTGAACAGGCAATAGGACAGATACGTGAAGTTTGCTTAAGTGCCTGGGATAAGATAATTCCATCAGAAAAGAGAAAGTCAAGTTACATGGCTATAAGACAACGAAATGATGAGCCTTATGCTGACTTTGTGTCCCGACTGGAAGATGCTATTTCCAAGTGTGTAAAGAATGTCCTGGCAGTAAGAGACCTAGTGCATAAGCTAGCTTATGATTTTGTTAATAAGCACTGTAAAAATGCCTTGTGGCCCTACAGGGAAAAGGGCACCCTACTAGATTATCTCAGGATATGCAGGAATGTAGAGACAGAGGAATACAAGGCTGACCTCATGGCAGCTGTACTAGCGAATTATATCAGACCTGAAAGAAAGTCCTTTAGTTGTGGGAAAATGGGTCATCTTCAAAGAGAGTGTAGGAAAAGCAAACTGCGGCCTGAGCCAGAGCATGGGCCAGGGCCACCTAATTCGGGTTTAAAAGGACCTGAACTTTGTCCACGCTGTAGAAAGGGAACTCATTGGGCGAGTCAATGTCGTTCTAAATTCAACAATAAAGGACTGCCATTAGCAAAGAGTTCCGTGTGGGAAAATAGAGGAAGGAACTTGATACAGACCCTGCCCAACAGAGCTCAGAAGGCAAGGCTTCTGCCTAACCCAGCAAAAGAATCTTTGAATAGCAGAAATCACCCAATCTCACAGCAGGAGACCAGACCTAGCCAAACAGGCAAAAACCCACTCTCTGTTCTTGCAGTTGGTTTGAGTCACCAAGGAATGGCTCAGAAACCCTTGCAGCAACCTGTTGATTCTAAAAAGCAGGAGCATCTTATTGAAAGAGTAATACAATTTCTATCAGAAAGTTTTAGTCTAAGTACTCAAGAAATTAAAATTGATACTGGAGTTGATCAGAGTTACAAGGAAAAGACAAAAGCTGTGATTAAATCAGAAATTATTAAGAGTGGTAATTGGGGTTTGCTACCTAAAAGAACTATAGAATGTTTATTAGGAAAGTCCAACCTAAATTCTCAAGGTGTTGCTGGAATTATTGGTCAGGACTATGAAGAAATTAAGGCAGTGATAAATTCTGATGTACTGTGGTTTATTAAAAAGAAGATCGTGTAAGCCAATTTTTGCTTCCCTGCATCTCTAGAGTAAAAATGTATGCCTATATGGAAAGAGTACTTACATCTGACCACCTTTTAAATGAAGGGTAAATGAAACAACAGCGCCCCCACACAAAAAGGTTTTTAAGCTCTGGATATGGAGTCATTGCCTTAGGGCATTCAGGAGGGCCTAAGACCCTCCCATTAACTTCCCCTAAAGCCAGCATGGAGGGAATGAGTGAAGTTAACTAAGACAGACTATTGCAAGATGGTAAAATCATACAGTGTAAGAAGCCTGAAGGGCAAAGCAGCTTAATTGAGCCTGTAACTTTACTGGTAAACTTGGAGAAAAATGTCTGTTTGGTAAACTGCTTCAAGAACAGCTGAACAAATTTATAAACAAAATTTTCAGTCTTTCAAAGTATGGTAAGCTGACTAGTAGTTTTACTGGTTCAAAACCAAGCAAGTTAACTGAGATCTCTAGCAGTGCTTTAAAATCTAAATTGTTAAAACAGAAGTGGGAGAAGAGTAACCTTATGTATGACGAATTTCATTTGGTCACTGTAACCACATTTTTTTTCTCCTTATTAAAAGTTTGTAACAAAATTAGGACAGATAAACACATTTTCAATTCCACAGAGAAAACTGATCTTAAAAAGTCCCCAAAAGATGGAAATCGCGTTTGGGATCCAGGTCCATTCACCTAGAGAAAGGGCTACGCATTTCTATTTTTACAGACTAAAGCTGATGGACTCCCTTTAGAGGACGCAACCACATTTGGAGAAAGATGGACAAGGAGAGATGGAGAAGCCACTCAATCTTAATCATGATTCCTTTTTCAGGTTAATGACACCCCGAAGAGAGGGGCTGTTTGTTTATATTTTCACAGGCAAAGGAGATAGGTGGATTTTTCTTCAGTCAGCGAGGCCCGGAAGCAAGCAGGGAAGCTGATATGACCTGACCCCCCTGTCCTGTTATTGAAGTTAC